GTCCCTCATGACGACGCTGATGAGCAGAGCCCTTGGTGGGGCCATGCTTGGCTTCATAGTAGCAGCGAGGTGACGAGGGACCCGTAAGGGGTCCCTCTCGACGATGGCGAGAGCTCAATTGATGGTGAGAGCTCAAGGGCGCGAAGGAGGCAGCAACAAGAGGCGAGAGCTCAAACGACGATGACACGTATATGGCAAGCGTTGAAGACTCGGTTGACATCGACGGTGATGAAGAGAGTTTTGAGGGGAGATCGAACAATGGCAACATGTCGACGAAGAGCAATGAACGCCAGGTTGAATTTGACAATGATGAAAGAGTTTGAGGGGAGCTTGAATGATGGAAAAGGCGTTTCGACGAACTCGTGCAGAGTTTGTCACTCGGCGATGGTGGCATTGAGGGTCTGTAGTGTTGATAGGCTATGACAGTGACGATGAGTGCTGTAACGGGAGAGGGTGAAGTCGACAATGGTGTTTGAATAACCGTGACGACAATGACATTATCCGAATGATACGTTGGCAGCTTCGGTGAAGAAACTACAAGAAAGCGTATGACACTCCTTATGCTAAATTTCATATATGTTGACGGCGTATAATTCGCCTTAGCATTAGTTCCTGGTGCTGACAATCGTATTCAAATTTTGGTTGTCCTACTCTACTGTACCACCAAATAGAGAATAATTAAAAATATATTTAATGCCATGAATTCTGAAGGAAGATAATATGAGTAAAAATATCTTCCAGTCCTTCGCCTGACTGCTCTACCACTGACAATTACCAGTACACAACAATACATAAACATTTTTTTCATCCATCAAAAGATAGCACATCTAGCTCCAGAAAACCTGGGTCATGATATCAGGTGCCTGTGTATATACACACTAGTTCACAAGCTTTTGCACTTCAGTTAGCAAATCTCGTTATTTGAACTTTTTAGTGTTTGAGAACCAAGAAGTATGGGAAATAAAGATCCTTTAATTACTCCAGAATTTCATTATTGGTACCTTCTGTGCCTTCCTACTAGTAATGAAGGATCCCTTAAATAGAAGAAAGGTACTAAGAGCAATTAACTATTTTGGACGAACTTATCTCTGAAATGCGATCAATTGTAAGAAATTGGATATCAGCACGACCGTGATCTAATAAAGGAAAAGTTGCTTTATGTGCTTTCCTATTTGATATCAGCACGACCATGATCTAATAAGGGAAAAGTTGCTCTATCTGCTTTCCTAATGTAGGTAGCGGAACAAAATATATGTAGTGCTAAAAGTATGCCAATTTCGAAGCAACAGATTTAAACTATAAACTGACTGGAGAGGTCATTGATAGCAGTTAGCAAGTTATGAAAGATGAATTTGACTCAACAACAGCGAAAACAGTCGAAATCATATCAGTACAGTTAACTTGAATAGTTAACACTGCTGCTAAGAAACTAGGGTTCCAAAAATGAACTCAAGGACCATAAGGTATACAATTTTTGACCAAGATGTTACAAACATGACATAAATATTAGGGTTAATTGTGGATAGACCCCCTGCAGTTGTATCGTTGCAGACCCCCTGAGTGTGATGTTTTGACTCATTTATCCTCAGGAGGTCTATAGAAACAAAATTTTCGGCAAAATGGCCAGATTGGTATATTTTTTAGAGGCTTGGTGACATGTTGGTATATTTTCTTTTAGTTTTGTCAGATTGGTATAAATTTTTAACTCCGGCGCCATATAGGCCTTAAATTTGGCCGGAGTTACTGTTCCGGCCAGGGCTGATGGATTTTTTTGCAAAAAACCCCCTCATCAAATACAATTTCCTGCTTCTAACCTCCCTCTCCTCCTCCTCCTCCTCTTCAACCTCCCTCTCCCCAGTTTTTTTAACAAAAATGTCTTGAGAATTGATATACAGAAACCAATAACCAAATCAACCTGTTTGTACTAGGCAAATTCAAAATTCAATGTCTTCAGAGCAAACTTTATGTGTACTGCCATCACGAACTTGTTCAACAATGGCTTTCATTGGTTTCCCCCTGTTTGCATTTAAGAAGGCTTGTGCATCAAAATTATTAGGGTCACCGATGGCTGAAGGGGGAAGGTCTCTTATAGATTCATCAGTTTCCTGCATTGATTTTCAATGCCAAAACCAAGGGACTGATGGTCTTCGCCGGCGGCGAGGAGTTGACTTCGCGGGAGCTGACTTCGCGGGGGAGGTTGAAGAGGATGAGGAAGAAGAGGATGAGGAGGAGGAAGAGGGGGAGGTTGAAGAGGACGAGGAGGAGGGAGGGGGGGCGGTAGGAGCAGGAAATTATATTTGATGAGGGGGTTTTTTGCAAAAAATTCCATCAGCCCTGGTCGGAACAGTAACTCCGACCAAATTTAAGGTCTATATGGCGCCGGAGTTAAAAATTTATACCAATCTGACAAAACTAAAAGAAAATATACCAACATGTCACCAAGCCTCTAAAAAATATACCAATCTGGCCATTTTGCCCAAAATTTTCTATAGAAATAAAAATTTCTTTCTCCGACGGTAAAAGAGTCAAAAAATCACATAAGGAGCCTATCTGCAACAGTAGAACTACATAGGGTCTATCTGCAGTTGCGTGATAGTACACTAAGTCTATCAGCAATTAACTGGTAATTATATTAAAAAATAACAACATATTAACCAACCACAGAAGCATGTACGAAAGATTGTCAGTACTAAATTATCAGAGATCAATTGAGAAGATGATGACACTAGAAATAAACAATCAATATAACCTTTTTGAAATAACTCATGCATCCACCACTGACCTTTTGAGATTCAAGTTACATGCACTTGAGACTCTTCATGAACTTTCGGCATTCAAGTTGCTATTTTTGGATTTATGGGCAGCCATCCCTCCCTGCTCTTGAGTTTCCAGCAGTACCGTACTTGTTAATTGTCCATGATGACAAGCATACGAAGACATTTGAGTTGATCTCCATAAAATAAAGCACCTAAATATTTCAATGTTTGTATTAATTCCATGCTGTTGGCCTAACAAGCGGACAGAAGAATGCCTTCTTTAAGTTACATTAAAGCAACATTCAAAAAAATAGAATTATACAAGTAATCAAGATAAGAGAGAATGAAAACAAATAGCTAGTTAAAATGTAACAAGCATTTATTTCTTTCATGAACCAAAACATTAATCATAACATGCATAAATTCTGCCTTGACAAGCTTTTTAACATTCTGAAATTGCGTTTTACACTTTCAGGTTTGCATTACAGAAGCTTGTCTTCAAATGTAAAGGACTATAATTTCTATATAGATGTAGACAAATTTTCTAACTACCACATGGACTACAAGCAACTCAATCACTGGATTTCAGGAGGATATACAGATGGGTAGCAGCATGCTCAATTCCGCCATATTCTAGCCCCTTGTTTTTGTCCCAACAAATGTTGAAGGGCTTTAAAAATTTATGCATGTGGATACAAAGTAGGAACAGGCACAACTTGCGTCAATCTTAATGGTAGTATATTAAAGCAATATCTTTCTCAATGTTTGTGAACTAAATGTTACTATGGTAAGGTGGAACAGGACATAATTCTAATGTACTTATTTATACTTTTGGTATGCCTACTCTATATTAGACAAAATTTGGGATTCTTTTCATTTAGGATGAGCATCTTGACATGAGACTTCACACACAAACCCCTAACCTATGTTACCCGGGTACTTCTATAATAAAGCCGACGTACCCGTACCGGACACATACCCGACACTTTCCCGTACCCAAACTTCATACACTTCTTGAATATATGCATGCATTTATTACAACATGTACTCAATTATATAGTTAATGGGTCGTTTAGATGTCTAGTAAAAAAATGAGTAGTTTACAATTCAAGATAATCAATATGATAAAAAAAACTCAAAAATATGATCGGAATTTTAATTCTAATGACACATGAAGGGAAAAAATTATCTTATGTATAGTATTAATTCAATATATATATGTAGTCGTGTCCCCGTATCCTACATTTTACAGTTTTGCCATGTCCCGTACCCGTACCCGTGTCCGTTTCCATGCAACTTAGCCCCTAACATTCTCTCCTTTCATGAGTGAGTAAACTTTCATTCGTGAATGTTAGGATATAATATACTATACCCCTCAACCTTCAAGACAACTCTTGAAGTTTTGGTATAGTGGCAGAGACCTTTAAAATAGTATCAGAGAAACCCAGACTAAAATCCCATCAACCACATATGTAAAAAGGATTTAAAAATAAAACATCTGCGTGTGAGTTCAGGTTTCGGCCTATGTAAAAGACAACCCTCAACCTATGAGGGCATGTTTGAGTATAACAAGTATAACCTTCTAACCGCATCAAAATTTCGGAGTTTAAGTATAGTGGAGGGTATCTTTAACAGTGAAGATTTCGCTGATGAACAGTTATACCTCAGTTGCAACATATCAATATTCAGAGACTAATCAGACCTTAATCAGTCTCCCCACGTATGTTAGGACCGGTTTGCAAGTAAGATGAGTCTTAAATGGAGGTATGTAACTGAATTAACCCAACATCTTAAGTTGTTAAAAATTAACCCTTCTTTATGCTAGTCCATGCTCTTCTTTCAATTGTAGAAAAATACTCATAGGCGAATCATAAAAGGCGAACACTCTACTCTATCACCAACTTAACAAATGCTTCAGTTCTGAAATATATAGTCGCTGAAATCTGAACAAAAACGTATGTTTGAGTTCAATTTTGCTTAGTGGGGAGCTGGTATTGAGTTAGCTGAAGAAAACAGTTTGCTTCAGCCCCTGGTTTGCCCTAGCAACCAAAAGGTAAACATAATATATTGTTCCCATCATCCAGTAACATAATTATCTCCAGAATATCTGGGTCATGCTCTAAGTTCTCAGTATATATAAGACTTCCGGACTCTCCAGTCGTCAAATTGTTTCATAGCCTTTTCTTCTTTGTATAAAAATCACATCCCTTCCAACTTCTTAGTATTTGAGAATCAAAAAGCAAAATGGGAGTTCGTTTTCTGGGGTTATCTCTTGCAATGCATAAAATACAACAATCTATGCATCGAAATAAGAGGAATGTTAATATAGCTAATGTCCCTAGAGGACACTTTGCCATATATGTTGGTGAAGCTCAGAAGCGTTTCATCGTTCCAGTGTCATATTTGAAGAACCCTTTGTTTCAAAATTTGCTCAGTCGAGCGGAGGAAGAGTTTGGCTTTGATCATTGTATGGGTGGTATCAGAGTTCCATGCAGGGAAGATACATTCATTTTGTTGACTTCCCAAATGAACAATCACAAATAGTTGGCTTCTAGAGAATAGATTTATAAATTTGACCAATGTTAAAACATTGTTCACTTATTTTTGATGTTCTTATGATTTCATAATTGTAAAGAACTGCAAGAAATTTGATGAGTAATGTATTTTTACTGCAGATAATTTGCTGCAGTCATTTTTTCCTACGGACTTCACACAGCATATCAATTCTCTAGAAAAAAAAAGTAGTTATAGTGAGGTCCACGAGGATAGCATGAAAATTAGCATAGATTGTAGAAAATACCCCTAAGGTTGTATAAGACACAAAATCCCTCTATGGTTCTAACGTACAATTTGAACCCCTCTTCTAATTTTGACATAATTAACTTGAATTATCATTGGATGTGATAATTATACTCTGGCTAAATTACCAGATTGGTAAATTACGGCATCTTTGGGAACCTAGCTTATAATCCACTTGGCTTATCATCCACAAATAAATTATAAGCCAAGTGGATTATAAGCCAAAGTGTTTAAAAAAAAAGGATTATAAGCCGCTTTCAATAGGAGTTTTGACAAAGGTGGATTATAATCCATCATTGTTGTCAAAATGACAAAAAAAAAAGACATGGCTCAAAATTTAAATATTGAATAGACCTTGGAATTATTTTAAATGTTGAAGGGTAAACTTGATATTTACTTAGTCAAACTATATGGCTTATAAGCCACCAAAAATAAGCTGGGTTAGGAAAGCTTTTTTTTTTTAGATTTGTAAGCCAAAATAACCCAGTTGCCAAACATGTTGCAATGGCTTATGAGCCACAAAAGTGGATTATAAGACAATTTGACCAATTGCCAAAAATGCTCTTAGTATATTGTGTTTGACAATAAGGTATCTTTATTTGTTTTGGCTACAATAAGATATTAATAAGAAATCAATTTTCATGAATTAGGTCCAACTGCTCTCCGCCGACAATGATTTTACCACTTCACTACGTGACTATACGTGACTCAATTTAAATAATTTTGAAAGCTTATATACCCTAAGAGTCCCAAACCCAAACTGAGCCCCAATTTTAAAACCTGAATCACTTTAAAATGACGCTAACTACCTTTCTCATGTCATTAATCTTCAAGCACATCAACCTTTTAAAGGGTAAAGAGAAGATCAAGTGTGCTCACATGATCATTTGATGCCAAAATCATCGCATGTGGACAACCAGTTGGCTAATAGACAAAAACTCATTAGTTTTAATACCTTATGGTAGCCAGAGCAAACAAAAATACATTGTTGTCAAACATGTCATACTAAATATACCAATATGGTAATTTAGTCATTATGGGCCCTCCTATATAAAGAAATACAAGATTATGTGAACGTGTGGGTTCTCGTGGGGGTCACTTATCCACGAACACGGCTGCAAACCGTGTGCAAATCCGCGTGAAGTTCTCGTGAGGGCCACTCATCCACGAACGCGGCTGCAAACCACGTGCAAAGCCGCGTGAAGTTCTCGTGGGGGCCACACATCCACGAACGTGGCTGTAAACCGCGTGAACAGCAAACCGCGTGAGAAGATTCTTTAAGCTGCAAACCGCGTGAAATGCCTGCCGAAACTATATATATATATAGCTATCTATACCTAGGGTTTTGGTTTTTTTTGAGGCAGAGGTGAGTTTTCGGCTGTGCAAAAGAGGAGAAATTTCTTGGGCGGCGTACAAAGGGAAAACTTCAGAGGCTGTGTGCAGGCGTACCCAAGAGAGAAAAAGTCTTTCGGCGGCTGACTTTTGAGAAGAAAAACAGCGAGTTATTTGAGGGTTTAATTTGTGAGAGCTGTGTGATTGTAAACTCTATTTGTATTCTTTTTCTCTCTAATAGTAGATCTCCCCCTCCTTGTCGCGTGAACGTAGGCAACTTATCGAACCATATTAAAATTAATTGTTCGTGTTGTGATTTGTAATAGAGAGTTATATGTTCCCTCGACAAGTCAGTCCTAGAACTGATGAGAGAAAAAACTGATATCTCACTTTATTAAGATATTTTGCTTTCGGTTCTTGTTTCCTTTGTGAAACAAGGATTTAGTTGAGATCTACTCTTGTCGAGCGTCAGAGGTGCTGCCAAAATTTTCGCTGCGCATAACAAGTGGTATCAGAGATTGGGCTACGCTTGGGCAATTTGGAGGAGTATATCGCTTTGGAAGCTTGTCTAGGGTTTTAATTGGTGATAAAGGTGGGGTCTTTTTGGTAAAGACTCTATCTTTCTTAAGTTTGGATCTATTCTTCAGTTTGTTCCGCATTGGTTGTTAGTGTGTTGAGAAATATGACCGCGAAAGAAGGTGTTGAGGGTGGTGCTTCTGGTGTGAAGACTATTCAAAGTTTGAATATCCACTATACGAAAATAGATGTGAAGAATTTTAATGACACGAACAACTTTGGACTTTGGCGATGCGAATTTTTGGATGAACTGAACGCGGAAAATTTAGAAGACACTTTGGAGTTTGATGGCAAGCTAGATGATATTGAAGAGAATGTTTGGAAGAAGATGAATTGGACGGCATGTGGTGTAATTAGATCTTGTTTAACACAAGATTTAAAGTATGATGTGATGAATGAGACTTCTGCAAAGAAGATTTGGGAGACCCTTGAAAGCAAGTATTTGACCAAAAGTGTGAAAAATCGCTTGCATATGAGGAGGAGATTTTATCGCTTCCAATTGAAGAAGAAAACCTCCATTTGTGATCACATAAACCACTACACGAAATTTCTTGCGGATTTGACGAATGTGGATGTTATGATCGATGATGAGGACAAAACATTGTTATTATTGAGTTCCTTGCCAGATGAGAAATACGAGGTCTTTGTTCTTACCCTACTTAATGAGAAAACGTCTCTTTTGTATAGTGAGATCACTGCTGCACTTGTGAATTATCAGCTTCGAAAGAAGCATAAGAAGGCTTCAATTGAACCGATAGCAGAGGCATTGGTTGTAAGAGGAAAGAATCCAAACCGGAAGAATTAGAAATCAGTATAAAGTAGGACATCCTACAGTTAGAAAAAATCAGTGTGCTTGGTGTAAGAAGACTGGTCATTAAAAGAAAGATTGTCCAAAGCTCGACGAATGGATGAAGAATAAGCAAAAGGAAAAAAGAAAGCAACCATCATCAGAAGCAAACATCATTATATCGGATGGTAATATTTTTGATACTTCTATTTATTCGCTTTCTATCAGTCCTACAAGTATCTATTCGGAGGTATCCGAGTGGATGTTGGATACTGGTGCGACCTATCATGTGTGCCCTAGAAGGGAATGGTTCTTCAGTTTTAAGAAGCTGGATAGTGATGTGGTATACATGGAAGATAACCGTGCATGTCAGATCCTTAGGATAGGAAGTATTCGCATCAAGATGTTGACTATTAGGAAGTTATATGATGTGAGATATATGTTTCTTCCTTGAGGAAGAACTTGATCTCAATTGGAGTTTTGGTTGGAGAGGGTCTGAAGGTTCGTGTTGAGGACATGGTTTTCGAGATCGTGGAAGACTCTTTGATTGTGATGAAGGGCGTCAGGAGGAATAACCTGTACTATTTGATTGAAGATACAGTGATAGGTAGAAAACTGGCGACTTCTGTTGATTCGACTAGACTACGGTATTTGGGGCTTTATCATTCCAGTATTGATTTGGAGATGGGTGCATCGACCAGCAATTTAAAATTCAGTGAACACTTTGATGTGAGCAAGAAGACCGAGGTGAAGTTTGGCGCCTCTATTCACCGCATGGAGGGTCTTTCAGATGGGGTTCATGTGGATGTTTTGGGGTCTTCCAAGGAGGTATCATTGGGAGGAAATAGATGTTTGATTTTCTTTGTTAGTGGTTGTTCTAGGCGTGTTTGGGTTACAACCAAATCCCCTTTGGATAAAGTCATAGTAGTCTTCAACAGATTGAAGAAATGTATAATAGACAGAAAGGTGAAGGTACTTCATTCTGATTTTGGTGGGAGGACAAGATGGACCTGTTTTTGTATTGGAGCCGAGCTCACGACATTTCGAGATACTTTGTTGGAAAGAAAATATTAGGGCAACTAAGTAGGGTGGTAAAATTTGAGAACCGTGCCTTGTTGGAGGAGGATCGGTGTTTGTTGTCAAGCAATGGTCTGCAGAAGAGTTTTTGGACTAAGGTTTTGACATTATTTGGATCATCCTATTAAAGAGTTATCAACTGCTATGATTAGAGGTAAAACTCAATTGGATATTTGATCTGATAATGTCACATTAGATGAGGCTTCGATGAGGGAGCTTATTGACTCTCAGTAGGTGGAGAGTTTTGGACAGATCATAGAGGTATCATAACAGGTGGAGAATGATACTACTTCACATTGGGTGGAGATTACTCCACATTCTCCAGATCATTCTGTATTATTTGGGATTCCATCCAAGGTGACACAGTTTGGGGATCAATTGATTTTGGATACAGATGATAAGTTAGGTTTTGATTCGAGTGCAGCTGATAGATGTAGTTTGGATATGACCATTGGTTCACCTCAGGTGGAGGTGTTTGATTCGTTACATTTTGAGACCATTGGAGGTGCTATCAGCCGTAGAATTGATATTGGAGAAATGTTGCGAACTCTTCTATTGGATTGAGATCATTCGCGGCCATTTGGTGAACTACGTGAGACTTGATTCCTTAGGCAAGAGGATTCGTAGGTAGTCTTTATGATGCAACCGATTTGGTAAGTTGATACCGACATTTGGAGAGTGTTTGCATTCTCATTTGGGTTCTCGACTTGTTGTGAATTGAGTCCGTTATCGTGAATTAACTTCACGGCATACTGAACACAAGTGAGATATTTGAATGCTTTGATGTTGGCTCAGTTTTCGGAAAACATCGCCAAGGTGGAGAATTGTGAACGCGTGGGTTCTCGTAGGGGCCACTCATCCACAAACACGACTGCAAACCGTGTGCAAAGCCGCATGAAGTTCTCGTGGAGACCACTCATCCACAAACGCGGCTGCAAACCACGTGCAAAGCTGCGTGAAGTTCTCGTGAGGGCCACACATCCACGAACGTGGCTGTAAACCGCGTGAACAGCAAATCGCGTGAGAAGATTCTTTGAGCTGCAAACCGCATGAAATGCCTGCCGAAGCTATATATATATATAGCTATCTATACCTAGGGTTTTGGGTTTTTTTGAGGCAGAGGAGAGTTTTCAGCTGTGCAAAAGAGGAGAAATTTCTTGGGCGGCGTACAAAGGGAAAATTTCAGAGGCTGTGTGCAGGCGTACCCTAGAGAGAAAAAGTCTTTTGGCGGCTAACTTTTGAGAAGAAAAGCAACGAGTTATTTTAAGGGTTTAATTTGTGAGAACTGTTTGATTGTAAACCCTATTTGTGTTCTTTTTCTCTCTAATAGTAGATCTCCCCCCTCCTTGTCCCGTGAACGTAGACAACTTACCGAACCACGTTAAAATTGATTATTCGTGTTGTGATTTATAATAGAGAGTTATAGGTTCCCTCAATAAGTCAGTCCTATAACTGATGAGAAGAAAAGCTGATATCCCACTTTGTTGAGATATTTTGCTTTCGGTTCTTGTTTCTTTTGTGAAACAGAGATTTAGTTGAGATCTACTCTTGTCGAGCGTCAGAAGTGCTACCGAATTTTCCGCTGCGTACAATAGATTATTATATTAAAAACAAATGAATAATTCCAAAAATAATGATTATTTGGGTAGAAGCTGAAAATGAGGGGGTAGAGTGTCACTTTCAAAATCTTAGGGGGTATCGTGTCAATAATGCAAACCTTAGGGGTTTATTCATGTAATCTACCTTGAAAATTAAACAGAGATTAATTAATGTAATCTACCTTGAATTTTGTAGAAAGATAAATCCTTTAGTGTTTAAAAAAGGATGGAAGGCCACCTTCTAGTTCAACCAATCTGGTAATTTTTTATCTTTCTTACATTATACAGATTATAAATCGAAAAATCACTCATTTTTTGAACAAGATACCCAAATAACCTTTACAATCATAGTTTTGAACTAGGTATTGAAATAAACCCGTCTGCCGAGTTTCCAGAAGTGAATGTAAAGTGTAGGATAAATGCCCAAGAAGTGTATGGTGAGTGTTTTAAATTAAAACATGTATTATATAACTGTGTACATGTTTGAGCAAACGTATGTATGCATATATTCTAGGAGTGTCCAATGAGTGTCGGTGTCCGATACGGGTATGATACGCGATAGAAGTGTCCTAGAAGTGTCTGAGAAGTGTTGGTGGCCAGTACGTGTTGGGTATGAGAAGAGCTTCATGATAAAATACCCAGGTAATATAACCTGAGGTATAAGAAAAGTACATTCATTTTGTTCAAGTATATTAAAATTTAAAAGTGAATAAAAAAATATCTTGTGATCAAATTTAATTTTTTTGGTTAGGAAAAGTAAGGGAAAAAGTTAAGTTTTTGGTGTATCAAATTGTCAAATTAACATTAATGCTCAAATCTTATGATAACTTTTTGTGCAGAGGGAGAGATTTTAAGATAACTTTCGCAATTAGTCCAGCTCAACTAAAACCCATATAATTATTAGATAAACATGAATGCTCAAATCTTATAAAAAAAGCTACTCAACATAGAATAACCAAAAAAAAAGAAGAGAAAAGAAAAAATATTCATATCAAATAATATATTAATAAATCTTAAACAACATTCTAACTGATACAGTACAACAAGCATATTAGTAATTCAAATTCAAAGTAAAGAAAAAAAATTAAACTATAGACTAGCAGTAAAATATTGGCCATCTTAGAGGAAAGAACTCAACATAAAGATGATTCATAAGTGTACGGCATAATAATTGGGTTGAATACGCTCACTTATTGTATCAACTTGAACATTAAAGTAGCCTGACATATCATCTTACTCAAATCTATGGAAGGCTTGCACACAACAAGGGCTGGGGGAGCGCGAGCCACATAGCATTTTGGTTGTGGTCATAATGTTGTACTGGTTCATTGTCCTTGAAGCCAACATGATGAGACAGTTAGGGGTCATCTGTACGCAAAACAAAGTTACTTATTTTCTTATCTCTAAACATTGCACGTTAACAGGGATATTCTTTCAAAAGTTATAAGCCTTACCATTACAGTATATACAGAGCACAACCACAATTTGCTAAGCATTTTTGAGAGACTTTAAGAACTACTAACTCAAGGATATCTCTATTATTTAGGACTTGATAATATGTGCATCATATCGGAATTAAAACCAACCCTCTAAATTTATTCAGATGACATAAGCAAACAGAAATCATCTCTAAAACTTTCGTAGGGTGTAACTTAGCAGGTTAACACCCTACTCTGTCAGCAAGTCCTTGATCAATCATGACTGATTAGAATTTATGCTTCAGTCCTGTGGACAACAGAGACGAAGAGATATAGTTGTTGACATCTGAACAAAAATATCTGTGAGTTGACTTGGTTTTGACGGAAGCTGGCATTCATTTCTCTGAACAAAACAGCCTGCTGGAGTTTGCTCCAGCCCCTGGTTTGTTCTAGCAACCGAAAGATAAACATTAATTTATCTCCCCATCATGTGGTACCATAAATTATCTCCAGGATAGCTGGGTCATTGTCTCACTTTTCAGTATATATATAAAGACTTTCCAGAGTTACCAGTACTCTTCATCAGTATTTCATAAGCCTTTCCCTCTTCAATATCAATACCTCAGGAAACAAAATGGGAATTCGTCTTCCAGGGTTATCTCTTGCAATGCACAAAGTACAACAATCTCTTCATCGAAACAAGAGGAACGTTACTGCAGCTAATGTCCCTAGAGGACACTTTGCCATATATGTTGGCGAGTCTCAGAAACGTTTCATTGTTCCATTACATTATTTGAAGCACCCTTTGTTTCAGAGTTTGCTCAATAGAGCTGAGGAAGAGTTCGGCTTCAATCATTGTATGGGTGCTATCAGAGTTCCATGCAGGGAAGATACTTTCATCTTCTTGACTTCCCAAATGAATCAATCTCAGTTAGATAGATAACAGAGAGCAGATAGATATCATCGATGTTAAGATTGTTTTTGTCCTATTTTTGATGTGCTTGTGACATCTTAACATTGTTAAGTAATGGTAGGAAGTTTGATGAGTAATGTAATTTGCTACAGAATTTTTTTTCCCAATAAAATTACCTTGAAGTTCCCTTCTTTGCATTCTTATCATATTTCACATAATTTTGTGGTCAATATATAAAGGTTACATGAGACAAAACCACCTAGACTTTGACGTGCCTTACAAAAAACCCCTGAAACTTTATCAATTAGAGAAATACTGTGAACTTGTTTCAATCAAATAACATGACCAGCAGCAGTTAGTTGAAATTGTTTGAATGACTTTGCCCCCCAAACCACCCCACCCCCCTACAAAACAAAAAAATGCACACACCCCACCAACGCACATGCATAAAAACAAATAACACAAACACCCACACCCACTCACTCCCACCCAACCACGAAGGCCCGTCCGCACGCCCACACGCACAATTACGCTCATTTAGACCTCTATTTAGAACAAATTTCAATGTTCAGTGGTTTTGTATAGTTTTGAAAGTTCAGGGTATTTCCCTAATTTATAACATTTATATAGGTTTGTATAACAGCCCATAGTTCATGAGTTCATGGGGATTTTGTAAATTTACACATTAAATAATCCATATCTTAAGAATGTTGCAGGAAAGTAAGATCCATATTGCTTAAAATGGATGGAGCTTTAACTTCCCAATTCAGCCAATTGATTGAAATTAACTACTAGTATAGGTTCTGATACAATCACTTCATTATGGCGATAAGAAATCTGGCACCAAGAGATTGTGATCTCATATAGGAAAGTAAATGTTTAAAAAGTAAATGTAATGAGATAAAAGAATAAAATAAGTAAATAGAGCTCATCTCAGATCTGATGAAAACTATAGATTTAACTTTCTATTTATAACAAATCTAGCAAAAGACTTTATCCAAAAAGCTAATAAAAAGTTTAATTCTAAAGCACACAAATGGCTATCAATCATAAATCATTAACTTATCTCCTGAGTTTTAATACATTGCCAAAAAATTTATGATGGTACAGGAGAAGTCCAGGTTCACATTCGAATTACATTTAAATAGTACCGAAAATTTTAAAAAGTATTAAAAGTCAAGCATTATGCAAAATATGAAGCTTCCATCTACAAAAAGGACACAACCTGTAGCATCGAATGAGGTTTTCCTAAGAAAATGGGAAACGAACCAAACAACCTGAGCGAAATACCACTATGCAAAATCCTAGTTTTGATATCTAAAAAGGACAAACAACCTTTAGTATAAGATATAAGTGCTCGTGCAACGAGTGAAATTTTAAGATGAATTACCTAACTAGTCAACTCAACTAGAAGCCAAAATTCATCCAACTCTCATATAAACTTGAATGCTCAAATCTTTTTTTTTAAAGTTACTTCCGTCCAGAAAATAAAGAATGAATTAATTGAAATCAAATAACTAATACATCTTAAAATTTTGAACTTTTCGAGTTCAAATACATGGAGGTTTAGTAGGTTGCAATCAATCACCTATTTTTTCAAGATCCTATGATAAGCAACAAGCATTTAGCATACCTTTTATTTTCCTTTGGTCTTCCGGTTATAATTTTTGGAACAAATTATAATGTTAACAGCATAAAAGTAATTCAAAATTCAAGTGAAGCAAAAGATTAAATTATGTACTGGCAATAAGACATTGACCACATTCGAGGAAAGTCATCAAACAGAAAAGATGAATTTATATAGTCAGCATAAAAAATGGTTGTATGCACTCACTCATTGAATCAACTTGCTGCGTTTATATAACATGATATATCATCTTCTTCAACTGTATAGAAGTCTGATCACCACATGATATGGGCTCCTTTGTTTCCATAACACCATATGATTTCATTGCCTCTGAAGCCAACATAAAGTGACAGTTGCGGTCATCTGCAAACAAAAGAAAGGAATTTATTTTCTTACCTCTAGACATTCCGTGTTAAAGTCTAAACAACTGGACATTCGCTAAAGAGAAGTAAACCTTACAACCTAGCCCATTACAGCTGTGTAGCACGGACACGGATCCGACACGGCCATCCGACACGCCGACACGAGGCAAATCCTAAAAAATACATAGAATACGTGTGTTCGACACGTGTGTCCGACACGGACACGACACGACACGGCTTCATATTATGCGTGTCCGTGCTTCATAGCATTACAGTACACAAAGACTCAAATTTAGCCAACCATTTAAGAGGAGACCTTCAAAACTATTAACTCACGGATAGCATGTTATTTAGGATTTTTTTATGATTTGTGCACTTTATGAGAATCAAACCCTCTGAGATGATCCAATAATATAAGCGAACAAAAATAACTTCTAAAAATTCATAGGGTATGGGTCTTAATAGGACAACACTTTTCTCTATGATCAACTCTTAAATTAATTTCAATTAATTAAAATTGATGCTTCAATTCTAGAATCAGAGAGGAAAACATATACTTCTCGAAATCTGAACAACTGTGGGGGAGCTAGCATTAGTGATCTGAAGAAAACAGTTTGCTTCAGCTCCTGTTTTGGCCTAGCAATCAAAAGACAGCACAATAAAAGTTTTCACATTATCTGGTACCATAATTATCTCCAGAAATCAGGGTCATGCTCTTAGTTTTCAGTATATATGAAGACTTCCAGACTTACTAGTCCTCACTGTTTCAAAAGCCTTTCCCACTTCAATACTAAAATCTTATTGTTTCTAACTCATACTTCACAGCATGGGAGTTCATTTTCCACAGTTATCACTTGCGAATCATATATGGCAACAGTCTCTACATCATCAAAATGAAAGGAACATCGATGTATTTAATGTCCCTGGAGGACTTTGCAATATGTGTAGCCGAGGCTTGGATGCATTCTTTTTTTCCCACTCTCTTATTTGGCTTCAATCGTGGTATGGGTGGCATCAGGGTTCCATACAGGGAAGCGACATTGTTGACTTAATAAATCAGTCTAATTTAGGTGGAATACAGAGAGTAGATTGACAAACATGGCCACTCTATAGTCTATACGACTATTTTGTCTTAGTTTTAATGTGCTTATGACAAATTACAATTGCAAAAAAGCTTGTTTGGGATTTGCGGAGTAACGCATTTCACTGCAGATCATTTGCACCAGTATCTTTTCCTATGAAATTAATTTGAAGTTGTAAAAAGAAACAAAATTCTTGCCTTTAAAGCCAAAAAGAAAACGTATTGGGATAACTTATAAAAAAAAAATAGATTTCAAGTCAGATCTGATCAAAATTACGACTAAAATTCCAATTTATAAATTGTCAATGGTTTCTTCTATTACATCAAATCTTTGAAATTGTGGTAAGATTGAGTATTTTTTATTTTAAATCCCCTTTAAATCCGTGGCCAGTGTGATTTGAACCATGATTGTTCCAATAAAATACTAAAGGTCCTTTCCCCTACACCAACCCTCATCACAACTTCATATTTTTGTATAGTGGATGGGACCTTTGACATAAATCTAATAATAGACTTTATTCACAATGCTAAATTTTAATTATGTCCGTGTCAACAGTTTCTACCACTACACCAAGCCAACGAAGTTGTGATGAGGGTTAAGAGTAATAAGTTTATACTCTGATAGTCTAAACTGTTAAATAAATAACTCTCAACCATCATCATATCTCCTGAGTTTTAATGCAATGCCATAAATTTTATGATGTACATGAGAAATCCACGCTCTTATCTCATAAGATGTGCATTTAAAAATTACTTAAAAGGAATGCAGCTATGCAAGATTGTATATCTTGATCTATAAATGGGAGACACAACGTGTAGCAGAGAACATAAGTTTTGATGCAGTGAGGCAGATTTTAAGACCAACTTAACTAAACTCATCTAGTTCTTAAAAGAAAATTTCAAATCTTTAGAAAACTACTCAATCCAGGAAAAACAATCAAGTCGAGTAAAAGAACAAACTAAAAAATATTAAGACATTCAAACTGATCTAGTCCAAACCCTTGAGGTTTAGAAGGCTCCATTAGCTCATGCAATTTTTTTTTATTTTTTAGTTTTAAGATCCTACCATAAACAACAAGCAGATTACCTCCATTTTCTCTACTCTTCCTTGAGCAGGTTGTAAGACCGAAATAGTGCCAAATGCATAAAAATATTCAAATTCCAAGTAAAAGAAAAAGATTAGACTATGATCAAGCACTAAAATATCGTCATGATAGAGGAAAGGCATTAACAGAAAGATGAATTCATATAGTTTGGCATTAAAAAACTGGTTGAAAAAACTAAATAGTTTGGCATTAAAAAACTGGTTGAAAAAACTAACTCATTATGAATTTGAACATTTAAGTAGCCTGACATGTCATCTTCTTCAATTCTATAGAAGACTCGGTCATCACTACACAACATGGGCTCTTTTATTTCCATGACATTGTACTGGTTCATTGTCCTTGAAGCCAACATAAAGAGAGTTGCCGTCATTTGTATGCAGAACATGGCCATATTAATCTCAGAATATGGCCATAGAGATTTGTATGCAAGTGGATATTCTTTTAGAGCAGTAAACCTTAGAACATGGCCATACTAATCAGGGATATCTCTATGGTTTAGGAGTAGATACTATATGTGTTTTATCTGAAATTCAGAATCAAATCCCTCTAAATTTAATGACATAGTATAACCAATCACAAACATTTCTAAAAATTTCGTAGGATACATATGAATACATATGGGGCTTCTGTTTTTGCAAGGACAGTAAAAAATTTGTAATCGACATATAACATTTGAATTTTTTTAAAACAAGATAAAATGTGAAAACATAAACAATGAAGTTAGCAGCCAATAGCCAAATGGGCAAATCCGAGTACATTATAGTATTGTACTCAAGTAACTTGTCATGTCTTCCACAATTTCAAGTGCAGTAAATGAAGAATAATGAATACTTTTAACTGGGGGCTGATCAAAGGAGACTATATTTGTGTATGTGAACATGTCTAAAACAATTAAGTCAATAACTACTGCCTGCTAATAGAAAGATAACAGATTCCTTAAATATAACTGTAATAATTTCTTTTTCAACAGAAAGATGGGCAAAACGGGGAAAAATGTCCCTCACGCGTAACTGCAATTACCCACAATATGTTTGCAGCATCTTTGTAAAACTCTAGCAGCAATCACTACAATATTTGGTAAATTCGAAAAGAAATATGTCTAACCTGATCCAGCAAGTATTGTATAAAAGCATTAAGTGTTAGCCATTAATAAGTTGAGCATACGGTGTCAGCCAGTCCATGTTCAAAACAGTGGGTTCTAGGCCAGGTTTTGCCAATTGCAGTATAACTAGATAATATATCATAATCTTCATCACTCCTCATCACATTTCACTGCAGAAAACATGGCTTATTCTAACAAACTCCTCTATATATGTACATGTGTTACACAATCTCTTCAATGACTTATCTTCATACTTCAGACTTCTCTTTTTTCTTTAAAATTCTTATCTCCCACTTTGAGAATCAAAAACCAACAATGGGAGTTCGCTTGCCCGTAATATTCTATGCAAAGCACGTAGTACAACAATCTTTGCATAGAAATAAGAAATCTATCAGCAATATTAATGTCCCAAAAGGCCATTTCGCTATATATGTTGGTGATATAGAGAAGAGATTCGTAGTTCCTGTATCATAATTGCAGCATCCACTGTTTCAGAGCCTGCTCTGTAGAGCTGAAGAAGAGTTTGGTTTTGATCATAGGATGCGTGGTATCAGAGTACCATGCAAGAAAGATGCTTTCGTATCAATGACTTCTCAAATACATGGATCCTCCTCTGAATTCTGGGTTTTCCATTAATTTTGATTAGTGAATAAGATCGATTTTGGTGATCTTCATATGCTCATAAAATGTTAGAATTGTAAAGGAAAATTAAAAACTTTAATTGCATCTAGTCCCTTTCCAACATGTATATTTTTTTGCAGCTTCAGTTTGTTGTAAAAGTTTTTAAGTTCAGGTGATTTTCCCAAATTTATTAAGTAAGGTAGGGTTGTGGAAAACACCCCAAGTTCATGACAAGTTTGTGAAATTTACTTACAAATTAATCCATACTTTAAGAATGTTCTAGAAAAGTAAGGTCCTTCCACACTTTAAATGGATGGAAGCTAACCTTTTCGATTCAGCCAGTTGATTGAAAATAACTACTAGAATAGATTCTAGTACAAGTGCATCATTATGACGCTAAGAAAAATCTGAAAACCTGGAGATGTTGATCTCATACAGGAAAGTAAATTTTAAAAAGTAAAATGTAGTAAGATAAGAACAAAATAAGTAAATGGAGTTCATCTCAGATCTGATGAAAGCTACAGACTGAACTACCTATCTTTAAACAAATCCAGCAAAAGGCTTTATCCAAAATGCTCATAAAAATTTTAATTCTCAAGAATACATATAACTCTCAGTGATCGCCATATCTCCTGACCTTCAGTACATTGCCGTAAATTTTACGACGGTACAGGTTTAATACATGTTCATATCCGATGTGCACTTAGTACTAAAAAAGCATGCTAGTGTTAAAAATCCTAAGGTTTGATCTATAAATAGGGCAAACAACCTGAAGCATTTAATTTAAGTTTAAATGCAATGGAATAAAATAGATTCCTTTGTTAGCCAAACTGAACTAGAACTCATGTAATTCTCAGATAAACTTGAATGGTCATATCTTTAAACAAAAGCTATCTCAATCCACGAAAATGAGAAATAATAAATCAATTTAAATCAATAACAAACTGATAAATCTTAAATTCTTAAACTAAACGAGCTAAAACCCTAGGAAGTTCAGGAGGCTCCAACAAGCCACCATTTTCTTTTAAGATCCCACAATAAGCAACAAGCATTTGACATTATTTTATTCTGCTTTTGCTGGTACAGGAACAAAAGATAATGCCAAAAGCATGAAAGTAATTCAAATTCTAAGTACAGAAAAAGATTAGACTATGGATTAGCACTAAAATAATTGCCACATTAGAGGAAAGCCATGAACATAAAAGATGCATTCATATAGTTTGCATAAAATGGTAGCATGTACTCACTCATTGTATCAACTTGCACATTTAAGTAGCCCAACCTATCATCTTCCTCAACTCCATGAAAGATTCAGCCATTACCAACTGGACTCCCTTGCTTTATAATGTTGTACTGGTTCATCGTCCTTGAAGCGAACATAAAAAGACAATTGGGGTCATTCGTACACAAAACAAACGTACTTAATTTTTTATCTCTAGACATTCCATGTTAGAATCATAGCAAGTAGATATCCTTTAACTTTAAGAGTAGCAGACCTAACAAAACAACCACATTACAGAATAGAAAGACTAACTTTTCTGACTATTAAAGACAATTTAACACTACATGATACTAACTCAGGGATATCTCTGTTATTTAGGACAAGATACTTATATGAATTCTATTGTAAGTTGCATGGAAACAGGTACATGCACTTATATGGTGCGGTACAAGTACATGTCAGTAAATTTGTAAAATGTATGGTATGGGGACACCATTATATATATATATATATATATATATATATATATATATATATATATATATATATATATATATATATTGAAATTAAAAATTTACATAATTTCATAACTTCTTTACAATTCATGTGTTATTAAAATTCCTATCGCATTTTTAAGTTTCTTTTGTTATGTTAATTATAAACTAGAAACTGCTCGTTTTCGAACTAGACACCAAAAATAACCTTTAAAATCGTAGTTTTGAGCTTGGGTATGGGCTGGAACGGCTAATGAGTTTGAAGAAATGATGTGACGTGTAGGATATACATCCAATAAGTGTATGGAAAATTATTTTACATAAAAGCATATATCGTATAATTGAATACATGTTTGAATAAATGTGTGAATATATCAAGGAGTGTCCATGAAGTTTCGGTAGGGGTACGTGTTGGATACGGTTACGGTTTCATGATAGAAGTCTGCAGGTAACATAGATTTGATTTCAGAGCCTCTGCAATCAATGATACATGAAAAGAAAACAAAAATAACATCTAAAATTTCATTCAAATATGCTTTAACATAAAGAAGCGAGAGTAGTATGGCTGAAGATCTATATATGAATTTTTTTTTTTCAAATAAGATCTATTGTAAAACAATCTAGTCCAAGTTATAATTCTTCGTTATCCCCCCTTTGCTTATAATAATTGCTAATACCTAGACAACAGATTCCTTAAAGATAACCGTAATGACTTCTTTTCCAGCAAAAATTTCGATGAAAAATCCATCCCGCAAAATTGGAAGCTGCCAACACAATATTTCTGCAATATCACTAAAAGAACTCTAGCAGCAAGAGCTGTAATATATGTGGACTTCGCGAAGAAATATGTCTAACCAGATACGGAAAGAATTCTTAAGAAGGAAAAGTGAGCTACCAATGGACAGTTGAACATTTAAGTGCCAATGCGTGTTCAAAACAGTGGGAACAAGGCCAGGTTTTGCCAAATGCAGGAAACTATATAATATATTAAAATCTTCATCATTCCTCACCACATTTCATTGCAGAAAATATGGCTTATGCTAACAGACCTCTCTGTGTATATACATATTCTACCCAATTTCTCTTCAACCACTTATCTTTATACTTCAGACTTACTCTTTTTCTTGAAATTCTAGCTCATCTTTGTGAATCGAGAAAAACGGATGGTAGTTCGCTTGCCTGGGTTATCCTAAGAATGACCCAAAAGGCCATTTTGCTATATACGTTGTTGACACTGAGAAGAGATTCCTAGTTCCTGTATCATACTGGAGGCATCCACTGTTCCGAAACCTGCTCTGTGAAGCTGAAGAAGAGTTTGGCTTTGATCGTAGGATGGGTGGTATCAGAGTTCCATGCAAGGAAGATGCTTCTGTATCAATGACTTCTCAAATAAATGGACCTTCCTCTCAATTCTGGGGGTTCCATTGATTTTTGTGATCTTCATATGCTAATAACATCTGATAATTGTCAAGGAAACTTAAAAACTTGCATTGCTCAGTTTTCTTTGTTGCTTAGAAGTTTCCTTCTATAGCACATTGTTAACCCTCTGATGTTTATTCTGCCCATACACCTACTCATTCCTTATTTGCAAATGCCCGATGAATGAATTATAAGTGTAAATATCTGAATTAGTCCATCCACCTTCCATTGCTTTTAAATGACACTCAAGGTCCTCAAACCTCCCAGCTTGGCAGACAATTGCAATATCCATTTACTACTGGTTTATTTGATTCAAAACTCGACATCATGGTCTTTTTTTAACTTAAATGACCTGAAGTTCTAATTTGCCAATTTGATAGCTCGAAGTGCAAAAAACAGAAAATGACACTGATTTTGTTCAGTAATACCAAGATAGGAAAGTGAATGAGAACAAAATTTCCTACCACATTTCAGTTTTTGGAGTTTGTGGCGGGTGAGGAACCAAAAGTAAGGGTTTTGGGGCAACAAATTGTCAAAATGACAGCAACTTTTAAAACTTCGGAGTACCAAATTGTCAAGATAAAACTTCAGGATATCAAAGTTGAAAAGGGGGGAAATTTGAGGGGGTATTAAAGTGCAAATACACCGTGTCCCTCACCTCTTTTGAGACATTAGATCAAGCTGTTAATGAGCTTCATTTGTCTCCTCGCCCATTGACAAAGAGAACCCATCAATATGCATCACACATTAGATCAAGAACTGTTTGGGGGTGGAACCCCATCGAGGCATGTTGTCGAGCACCTGAGCTGCGTTAGAAATCTCGTTCCCTGCTCATCAGAGAGCTGCAAACCACGACAAGGGTTCGTTCTTTTGGAGAGAGAAATCATAAGCAAAGATTTTGATGCTTCGAATGGGATAAGGTGATCAATGATGGGTTAGGGTTTGAGTAAAGCATTTTGTCGAACACGTGGAGGGGCATCATTCACCACGAGGTTACCTGATCTTCGATGAGTAGTTCATTAGACTGATGCGTGATTGTCGACATTTTTTTTCTCTCTCTTTCACCTGGGAATTGATGGCGTAAATATGATAGGTTTCAAGAACAACAAATTTTCAAAACAGCCCCATTTAGAGTTTTATTTTTTAAAATCGACCGGTTTTTTATTTATTTATCAAAACCGACCCGATTTTGTGATTAACCAGCTAATCACCTTTCTAAATAGTCGGGGTTGGCAACCCCGACTATTTAGGACCTTAATTTTTAGTGTTTAAGGCATCTAATCAGGGTTTAATACCCTCCTAAATAGTCGGGGTTGCCAACCCCGACTATATTAGGATGGTGATTTAGGCTGTTATTAGGGGTGGCAGTTTTTGACACCCGAGCCCATCAACGGCGCCGACCCCGACCGCGACCCGTTTATATTAGGTATGGATCAAGTTATTGGATTGGTCATAACGGGTCAACACTTGACCCATTTATTAGATGGGTAAGTTAGGGTTGAGCCGCCTGACCCGTGTAACACAAAGCTCACAGCGCCAGCGATTAAGAAAATTCCGGGCCGTCCCATTCTTTCTACGGAGAAAATAAAGAATGCTAAGGTTAACCGTGCCTCGTCTTCGTCTCTCATAAATGAAACCCTAGATTTCCCATCTGCGTGCGGTCGGCGGAGGCAGCGGAGCAGGCAGCGAGGAGGCGAGAGCGAGCGCAGCGAGAGAGCGAGCCGGGCGGCGATTAGGCGAGAGGTGACAGGCCGAGCGGCGGCGTTTCATCAAAAGTGACGACGAGTGAGCGGCGAGCGACGAGCGCGACAAAACGCGAGCTTCGATCCTCTCTGTAAGTTCTCGATCTCTCTAAGCTTCATCCAAAAATTAGGTTTCTTTTCATTTTGCTCAGTTCTTTAAATAAATTTGAAAGAGAGACGGTGAAGGAGTGCTGTGAACTCCTGGTGCAATATAGTAATTCACTGTAAAGGAATTTACATCTATTAGTTTTTTTTTGCCGCTGGAAGCTAGTTGTAAACTTATGTTACGAGCTGACACAAATTTATCTTATTAATTTGATTACAGTACATACATAAGATTCTTTGCCAACCGCCTTTTGTGTAGAATTAGTATGCTTTTTTAATATCTAATTAGATTTTATTTTCTTTAGATTTGTTATAAGAATATAAGGTGGTCTATATTCCACTTGAGCAGAAATAGCTAGGAGAAGAAGTCGTCGTTTCTGCTATTCAGGCTCCAATGTTGGCTACCTACCCTCAAATGTTGCTATTAAACTGAGCAGGGAATTACCTGCAAATGTTTCATTTTGACATTGAGGGAACTTAATAGATGTGATCACATAGAGTTTTCATTAAATTTAGAAGATGTGAAATATCCATTCTCTGAAGCATGTAAAAGCTATTAGAACCATCACTTATGTTCCTGTCAATTGGAGGAATGAGTCATTACTTCGTCATGGAAATGGTTACATAGCTAGAATACATACATTTTGCCCTTTTTTAAAGGAAGCCTAATTGCAAAAAGGAGAAAATATAATCTGCAAAGGTAAGTTATGCGCTAATGCCATGGCCTTTTATGGTAAGCTACTTTAATAGTCTTCAAGACGCAAATCAACTTAACTGCTGAATGTGTGTTTACGGAGTCATTAGGCGAACAATCCAATTCTTGGCAAGAAAGAGACTAAGCTAGCTTAAAGGGACCTTAATTGATGATTTACTAAAAGGACTATCAAAATTAACTAGAAATGGGCTATCATTCTAATTATAGCGCGCATCTCCATTTCAAAGTGCCTTTTCCAAGAGTATAATGGTACACTGCTAACAGTTTTAGCTTACTTGCCTCCATGACATGGGTTGGATTAATGTTTCCGTAGAAAGGTAAAAATTGCTGACTTGCAATGTATAACGGTCCTATAATTTTATGTTGCTAGGGTGCTCGCATCTGTTTGGATGAGATATCGATCGCCAAACAACAGCTGCTATAATTTTTGTTTAATCTAAGATGAAATTTATTTTACAAGACCTTTGTAATGTAATGTGACTTTAGAACAGCTAGTGTCACTGAATAAGTTTAATTTACTTGGTGGATAGTTTAGACAAGATGCATATACAGATGAACGAATTTGTGTTTCTGTTGAATTTTATTTAATTTATATGAAATCTTATGTAGTTTTGTAATTTCATTACAGTTAAATGGAGTTCTAGATTATGCCTACCACATAATTTTAATAGCGGATATGTAGAAGCAGATGTCATCTAATGAAGGCTTTAGAAGACATGTTCAGCAACACAAAAAAGACAACTTAATTACGCAAATAGCACGTGCAATAACTACTACACATACACAGAGCCATGAAGAGTGTAATATGCACGTACAAAACAAGCTAAGGGAGTAATCAATGAGCATTATACAAAACTGTCTGGATAGTGAATCCCTATTACCAATATTTTAGCACAAGATCAAGCACTTAGTTTAGTTTCATTCCCCTTAGAAATCAGCCATGGGGCACGCGACCGTCGATCGAAACTGAAGGGCTGCCATAAAGGCAGAGGCAAAAGACTTGTTTTTGTTAGCAGACCAAAAGAGGTTGATTCACTTTGATTACTGTTCACTTGAACTTCATACCTTCTATAGATTGTAATAGATCAAAAGATGAAAGGAAGCATGAATAAGAAATTAAATGACTTGAGCAAGATTGATAAGGCAAAAGGTAAAGAAAAGTTCAACTACAAAAAAATTTAAAAAGGGTTAGTTGTGCTTCAATTCCTTAAAGTCTGATATGCTGAAATTTAAATTTGCCCAAGAAAACTAACCCAAAGTTTAACCATTTTTAACTTTAATATCTCCTGTTAAATTAGTGTTTAGAATTTTGTGTTGGCAGTGAGTATCATGCTCATCAGTTAAATCTTTCTCAATAGTTGTGTTAGCACTTAGTGCGATCTCCCTTTCTTTTTACCAAATTCATCGTTCTCATGCTGTGCTCTTCAGTTCTTCGTATGTGATGTTCATGCTCATTAGTTAAATCTTTCTAAATAGTTGACAGGTGCGTGTGAGAGTAAATGTTAGTGTACTACACATGTAACATGTATTTGTTTTCTTCTGCGGATAGAGATATGAATACATATATTTTCCTGATATTGAAATTCTGAATGGAGTGGTATGAATTAATAGTTGTATCTATTAAAATATGGGTGTAAAGTTGAACTTAGGAGGGCAATTTTCTGTCACAAATCCTGAATCTTTTCTTACAAGATGCATAGGCACATGATGGTTGGACTTAGGACTAGGGAGAATCCCGTCTCACTACAAAGTCTTGATTCCCAAATCGATATGATTAGTTGAGCTTTCTCATAGTAATCTTCCTTATGAATGTTAACAACAAATAGTAGCAGGATGAAACACTCAATTACAAAAATAATGATCAAAGGTGTACATCACAAATGATGGCATTTTGTTTTAATATGTTTTAATATGTTTCCTTGGACAGGAGTGATAGCTTTTGTTTTTCAAGGTCAGATCGGCATTTTGGTATCTGTCCGCTGATCGTGTTTGCTATTTCAGGTCTATGTCATGCTTGTGAGTTTTAGATGCCACTTTCGTTCACCCACCTCCTGAATGCTGCAATTTGGGAAAACCTTGTATTTTAGGAATGTCCGAGAGATCTCGCTGATATGCGGCGAAGCCGATAGCATTGTTTTACGAATCAAGAGTACGTGTCGGCAACGAACAAAGTCTGTGAAAGGATTGGAGTCACTGAAACCTGCACAGAGGAATGCACAGAGGAAGGACTGCATAACCAAGTTCTTCGAAAAGGCTGTAAAAAACTCGGTCTTGATGTTGTTGGTTTTGTTGCCTTCTGAAAGCATTGTTTTATTTGCTGCTGCTTTGTTGGAACTTGTAACTCAAGTTTGCATTGTTTTATTTTTTCATGAGAAGCAGTATTGTAGTTCTGCACCTTATAGTCTCTGCCTTTTTATTTAGCTACTCCCGAATCTTCCCTTTTGGTGATCTTATTTTCCTGTATCAGAATTTCCTCACCGCTTCCAGGGTTTCTCTGCAACAATGTAAAAACTTTAGATTCATCATATAGTTTGTGTTCTTTCTTTTTTAACTTGTAAAAAGTTTTGAATTATAGTGAATTAATGCTCTTTTTACAGTATGGTTTATGCCTCTGCAATTATGTATTAAATGTTGCATGGATGAATTTTTTCATATGAACCTTTTTTCAGTAATATCAATTTAAATCGGTCATTCGGATTTACAGATTTGATTATTCAAGTAAATGGAAAAAAACCATAAGTTATTAAACGGGTCATTTGGGTTATATGGGTCGGGTCGGGTAACCCGTTTAATAAATGGGTCGGGTCATATTGACCCATTTATTAAACGGGTCGGGCCGGGTCATACTTATACGGGTCGGGTCAAATTTTATATGGGTCGGGTCGGGTCGACTCATTTGCCACCCCTACTGTTAATCACAAAATCGGGTCGGTTTTGGTAAATAAAAAAAACCGGTCGATTTTGAAAAATAAAACTCTAAAGGGGTCTGTTTTGAAAAATTGTTCGTTTCAAGAATACATAGTGGGAGCAATAAACCCTTAGACCATCTCTAAAGCAGCGCTATTTTGCCGTTAAAAGTCATTTTGTCGCTGCTCAGGAGCTCCAACGCAGCCCCATTTTTCGTTGCATTTTAGCGGTGATGAACAGCGCAACGCCATATTTGGCGTCGCACTGTTCATCACGTCATATTTGGCGTCACACTGTTCATCACCGCATTACTGTTTGTTTTTATTTATTTTTTTCAATTTTTTAATTTTACCTCATACTTTTATGTATTTACAATTTGACCCCAATTGTTTTATTAAATGTATAAAACAACCCCAATAATATTTAAATTTTATAATTTTACCCTAATTGTATAATTTGGACAAAATAAATTATTTTTTAAAAATAAAAATAATGCTAAAATTTAAGGGCCAGAGTGTCCAATATCATTGAAATAATTACCAAAGTTAGAAGCAGACCCTTGTTCTTGTTGATTTCTTTTTTGTATTATTTTAATTTGTTAAGCTCGAACGTGCTCACGCACGTTTGGATCAGCAATGTAATTCAAATCTTTCATTATAATTTTCCATTCATCTCTATCTTTTTTCATGGCTATCTTTTCTCGTTCGATATCAAATGCTCCTTGCCTGTCCAAGCTCGCCTTGTCTAACCTGTCTATAAGTCGATTGGATATCAAATGCTACTTGCCTATCCAAGCTCGCCTTGTCTAACCTGTCTATAAGTCGGTTATTGGAGGTCTCGATGGAGTCCACTACACTTGACTCATGATCATCATTTTTCCTTTTTAATTTGGCTTTTTTTACCCCAATAGGTCGTTCAGATAGAGTAAATGATGACAGTCCAGGAGATGTTGATATAGGAGATCCCGGAGTGGGACGAGTCGAAGTTCACACTTTGGGGTTGTCTTCGACCAACTTGTCTTGCTGTGGGGACATCATCTTTAAATTTTTTTGAAATTTTTAACCATATTCCAGACATGATCAAATTTGAAACATTTTTTGTACTTTGGTTCTTGCATAAATAACATCTTTGCTCGAACTAACTGCAAATTATAGTGAACATCAAGTTATGTATTTTAACAATAATAATAAATTTCAAACGATAATTAATAGAATACTTACAATATCTTCATCTGAAGCACCACTTGGATTCAGATTCTCTACTTGTCTTAAGCACGCATTCAATTTCCTTACTTCATTACTTATGATTTCCATTCGATAACAAATTGATCGGCTCGTACGCACCCCAAAATACTGATCTTGAAGTTCATTGTATTTGTCCTCCACATGAGACCAAAATGCATCTCGAGACTGGTTTCTACCGATAATAGGGTCTTGAGAAATATCCAAGAATACTTGACAAAGGAGCACATCTTCAGTAACCGTGTATCCAGATGATCGAATAGACATTTTTTTGTAAAAAGTGGTTGGTTTGGAGATTAGAAATACTTTGAAGAAATACTTCGAATTGGGTGGTTTGAAGTAGAATTCGTGAATGCTATTTATAGCCAATCCAATTTTTTTTTGAATTTGAATTTGAATTTGTCGGTGGTCAACATTTGAAATTGAATCGTTGCGTACAAACTGATCAGCTTTACACATTGTCTAACATTATCGGTGGGAATCAATTTTTGAAATCAGGTCAGCTTTATACATTGTCCAATGTATACACAGCTCAGATTTCCTTGAATTGTGTGAAAGCTTTATACGAGTGGGAATCAATTTTTGAAATCAGATCAGCTTTACACATTGTCCAACGTATACACAGCTCAGCTTTCCTTGAATTGTGTGAAAGCTTTATACGAGTGGGAATCAATTTTTGAAATCAGATCAGCTTTACACATTGTCCAACGTATACACAGCTCAGCTTTCCTTGAATTGTGTGAAAGCTTTATACGAGTGGGAATCAATTTTTGAAATCAGATCAGCTTTACACATTGTCTAACGTATACACAGCTCAGCTTTTCTTGAATTGTGTGAAAGCTTTATACGAGTGGGAATCAATTTTTGAAATCAGGTCAGCTTTACACATTGTCCAACGTATACACAGCTCAGCTTTCCTTGAATTATGTGAAAGCTTTATACGAGAGGGAATCAATTTTTGAAATCAGGTCAGCTTTACACATTGTCTAACATATACACAGCTCAGCTTTCCTTGAATTGTTCAATGTATACAGCTAAGCAAAGTTTTATAAATAGCATACTAGATTAGGTACATCCACACAATTACTCGTTGTTATGTTAAAATTATTATTCTCCATTTCTGCATACTTCAGTCATTCTTTTCTTACTTCAAAATTGAATTTCGATGTTGGAGGTCCATCATATTTATCATCATCTTCATCTTCGGGTGATGATAATTTTCCGTCCAATATTATTACAGAGATTGATGAAACCGAAGAAGTAATTTGTGAGTACATCATCAACAACATGATCCTCGCTAATAAATTATGTCAACAAAACTACCAAGCGATCCATGGTGGCTCGATTCCCGGTCATGCAGTGATCAACCGCGATCATGAAACTACGCATCAGAATTTGGTCATAGATTACTTTACCGATAATCCACGTTTTGGAGAAGATATGTTTCGTCATCGATATCGGATGTCAAGAAGTTTGTTCCTTCGTATTGTTGATGCAGTGAAAGATTATGACTATTACTTCCAACAACGAAGTGATGAACTTGGTAGAATAGGATTATCACCGTTACAAAAAGTAACAGCTATTTTTCGCATGTTGGCATACGGTCTACCAGCTGATACTACGGACGAATACGTTAAAATAGGTGAGTTAACATCAATTGAAAGTATGATAAAATTTTGTCGTGCTATGGTGGAAATATTCACAAAACGGTATCTACAAACACCTAACGCTAACGATATTGCTAGGCTACTCTATATTGGTAAAAAACGTGGTTGTCCAAGAATGTTAGGAAGTCTTGATTGTATGCATTGGCAATGGAAAAATTGTCCAACGGCATGGTCTGGGCAATACGCAGGACGTAGTGGGTCACCAACTATTATCCTTGAAGCTGTGGCAGCTTATGATCTTTGGATATGGCACGCATATTTTAGTATATTAGGCACCAATAATGATATCAATGTGCTGCAGTCATCTAATCTTTTCTCTAATCTAGCTCAAGGTATTGCTCCTCCCGCTCACTATGTTATTCAAGGAAAAGAGTATAATATGTGTTATTATTTAGCTGATGGTATATATCCAAAATGGGCTACTATTGTACAAACAATCCAACAGCCACAAGGTAGGAAGAAAAAAATATTTTGCCATAAAATAGGAAGCATGTAGAAAAGATGTAGAACGTGCGTTAAGAGTTCTCCAATCACGATTTGCAATTGTGGCAGGATCAGCACGTTTTTGGAAAAAACATGTATTACATGACATAATGACTGCATGCATTATTATGCACAATATGATAATCGAGGATGAACGTGATCTTTATGCACCAATTCAAGAAGTGAGGGAAGCACCAACACCAGAAGTTGATATGATAGCAGATGAAACTACAAAATTTACTCAATTTATTGCACGTTACGGAAAAATCAAGGATAAAGATGCCCATATTGCGCTTCGTAATGCATTGATAGATCATCTATGGGAGGAATACACTAATTCAGATAGTTAAGAGCATACTAAATTTGTAATTTTTACATTGTTGTTAATGTTTAATTATTTCCTTGTATTTTATTTCCTGTTGTGTTCTTGAATGTAATATTTTGGCAATATCAATAATAAAAATATAATATTTTAGCAATCAAGTTATTTTAATTAATAAAATAATATTTTATTGTTTTATTAGTTTAATTTTTAAATAATAAATCATTTTGTTTAAAAAATATGTGAAAAAAAAATAAAATTTGATATGTGGGGTTAATTGTTGAAATAGTTAGAAATATAGGGAATAAAAAATAATAATATAAAAGTAGATAAAAAAGAATATACTAAGAATATTCTTTTTTGGTACAAAAAATAATGCAATGGGTTGGAGATGAATTACTATTAGATGTGACTTGTGCACCATTTTGGTACAAAATTTGTACCATTTTGGTGCGATGGGTTGGAGATGCCCTTATATAAATTAGCATACTTAGAGCAACTCCAATGGGGCAGCAAAACTGCAATTTGCAGCCCCATGGATCACCAACCGAGCTCCAAATCTGGCTGCAAAATGCAGCGGGATAGAGAGAGGCTGCAAATATGCAGCCTCTTCTCCAAATTTGCAATTGAACTGCAAATTTGTTTAAATCCCCACTTTGTCCCTTTACTTATTCTATAAACAATTAGGAATTACCTCCATATCCTTTTTAATTAGTAACTAGTAATTTAAAATTAACATAAGTTTATTTCTACTAATTATTTTTAAATAAAAGTTTTACAGTTAGAAATGTCTTGTCGATACCTTCAAAATGAGACTAATATTGAATAATATTAATTGAAATATAAAATTCCAAGAACCAAGTAATTAAAAATGAAAATGTATTAGAAAATTAGATGAAAGATAAACATACTAATATTGAAATACATCGAAACCTTAATTAAAAAAATTACATCGCTTGATTTCCATGTCTATCCCACAAATGTTCAATCAATGCATTTCGAAGTGCAAAATGAGCTTCTTTGTTTTTCAACCTCTTATGTCGAGCAAGGAACCGTTGGAATCATTCAGTTTCGGTTATCTCTATATTTTTAGCATTCAGAATTGATTATGGAGTTGAAATAACAACATCTTCTTGCTCGTCACGTTCATCTTCGATAATCATATTATGCATTATAATACAAGCAATCATGATATCATGCAGAGTTTGTTTATCCCAAAAACGGGATGGCCCTTTAATGATAGCAAATCGTGATTGGAGAACACTGAATGCACGTTCTACATCTTTTCAACATGCTTCTTGCATTATTATAAAATGTTGTTTCTTTTTATCAACAGAATTGGAAATGGTTTGACCAAGTGCTAGCCATTTCGGATATATGTCATCGGCCAAATAATAACCGACATCATAATTTTTTCCTTGAATTGTGTAACGAGCTGGAGGAGCAATACCTTGTGATAGATTGTTGAACAAATTAGATGACTGCAATACATTAATATCATTATTGGATCCTGGCAAGCCAAAGTATGTGTGTCATATCCATAGATCATATAATGCTACTGCCTCAAGAATAATAGTTGGACCTCCATGACGTCCCGAGTATTGTCCTGCCCATGCTGTTGGATAATTTTTCCATTGCCAATGCATACATTCTAGACGAATTTCTATTTTATTTCATGAAAGGATTTCCAATATTTGTACTGCTCAAAGGACTCCGAAGTCTCTCTCATGCCGAATGTAATTAATTATGAAGGCCATCAGTAAATTTTGAGGATGCATTCGACAAGTCGAGCGCCTAAATCCAAGCGGTGCTTCTGAGCTGGACATTGTAAGTATTTGAATAACAAAAATTTTGATTATCATCTATTATCGTATTATTAATACTTGTTTCTTCCTCTCTTGTGGTAGATTAAACATGCTAGGATAATGTTTGCAGAAGATCCAGAAGAGAGAAAAGGGTTTCTATTTGATCATGTTTGGTCAATTTTAAAAGATGCAGAGAAATGGGCAAATATAAGTGTCAGATCGCCTACAAATTCCAAAACTCCAAAGTCCCGCTCATCTCAGGGATCAGATTCAAGTTCTCCTATCATCAACTTAAATGACGATAATGAGGGATATACTCATAATGACGATGATATGTCAACAAGTCGGCCGACAGGAAGGAAGAAAAAGAAGATGAGAAGGCGACATGCAATTGAAAAGAACATCGACTTTGAAACTCTTAATAAAAGTAATCAAGAAATTGTTGATATTTTAAAAAAAGTCATGAACAACGAGAAAATAATAGACTCACAATGCACCAGATTATGATGTTAAGGGCCGAAAACGATAAGAAAAAATTAGATCTTCAAAGGGAATGGCAGGAAAGTAAAATTATGTTAATTAATCTTGATACTATTACTGATCCTTCGGAACGCGAGTATTTTCAAATTAAAAAATAAGAGATTTTAAATAGAAACACAACTAGAGGTTCTTCATCTGCTATTCCTAATCCTAAAAATAGTTATGTAGGAAGTCAATACAGCATTCCTGACTACAGAAGCGGTGGATATGGAGGAAATGACCTGCGCGAGTTTTAATTTTTTTCATGTACTTTATTTTTCTATGTAATGCTGATGAATTTTTTTCATGTACTTTATTTTTCTATGTAATGCTATATTTTCTGGACTTCGGAGTAGTTATGAAGATTTTTCTGGTTTTTAAAAGATTTTTCCAAATATTATGCTAATTTTTTTGGTTTTTAAAATTTATAGGCTCTTATCTATTTCTTATTATCCATTCAACATAGATTATTAATTTTATTTAAATATATGATTACATTATATATTATAATTTTAGTATTAATTTATCATATACTTTATATTTTAAATTAATTCAACTAATTTTTTATCATTATATATTTTTTTATTTTCAAAATCATTTAAAGTATTATGCACATAATCATTTAATTATACATATTTTAAGAATGAAGTTTGATATAGAGGGGAGTGCTTGGAGTGTCCCCCTTTAAAAAAGAATATACTTGAGTATATTCTTTGGGGAGGCTGCATTTTACTGTCTCCCCATTGGAGTTGCTCTTAGTTCAAGCTGAATCATTTTACTTTTCTATGGAGAACTGTTTTTATAAGATGTTTACTCTTGTTTAAAATAGGACAAATTTTTAAAAGGAGCCATTTTTCAATTTTATATAGCAAAAGCGACCTGATTAGAAATGTATCTTCAAAACCGACCCTTTTCTTCGGAAAAGGGTCGGTTTTGCAGCAGTGATGTTTTTCGAGCTACATGGGATTAGCAGTCCCGTGTAGTTAGGCCATCAATTGAAATGCACGGGACTAGCAGTCCCGCGCATTTCATTTTTTTTCTTTCGGATAGTCTCTGCTTTTTACTCGGGACTGATAGTCCCGAGTAAAAAACAGAGACTTTTTGGGTCACAAACCAATTGCATGGGACTGGCAGTCCCGTGCTTTTCAGGGATACAAAACGAAATGCATGGGACTGCTAGCCCTATGCATTTCCTATGCACAAAAACATGCACATGTTGCTTTTCCTTTTCCTTTCAATTCCCTGTATAAACTCATATATCAAATCTAAAAATCATAAATTACACCATTACATTTCTTGTCAATTCCCTATATAAATTCATATATCAAAACTAAAAATTATAAATTACACCACAAACACAAACTCATTTACAAATTCAACAAATCACACCACAAACCCACTTACAAATCCAACAATCACGCCACAAACCCACTTACAAATCTAATAAATCACATCATAGTCTCGGCTACAAATCTAAAAACCATCTCACATCCCGAAATAGGTTTGTAATGTACATACCAAAATAGGATTGTAATGTATATAACAATATTGATTAGTTTACATACATCTAAGAACTCTTCTCCTCCTCCTTTGTCTTCAGCCTCCTCCATCCCGACCTTCGACGAGTTCGTGATCCGGTTGCGTTTGTGGTTGTGCCGGTCCAGCTCTGCTGTCAACACGTTGGGAAGGCCCAGCTTCATTGTCTTTTCTACGTCGTCCTCATCTTTGTTGTGGTTGAATCGTGTATACGAATTGCGTTACCTCTCATCCATCATGAAGGTCATCGTGAGTTCGGTGTAAGGCTTGGTGAGGCCTTCGCATTATTGACTGATATATTGATGCATGTTCCTGTACTTCGGGATATGTACCTGTGAGGGATAATTCAAAAAATCTAAAATACAAAAATTACTTAAAATTCAAATTACATAATGTAAATTTCATATTCAATTCTATATTACCTGCCCGAGTCAATTCAATGCCACGATTTGCAATGGTTTGAACATCATCTATTGCCGATACCTATAAATTTTTTAAAAAGCACAAGTTAGTAATATTGAGAAATACCAATAAAAATGGACTAAATTGTTCAAAAACAAATTTTGAAAATACTTACTAATTCTCTCTCACCTATACCCCGAGGCACATATCCTTTTTGCAACTCACTGGTGCTGTGGTCGTAGGGAGTATCCATGTCAGCTTCAATGCGTTTTGTGTGACAGTCACCAGTTAGAGGCAAGGGATCATATCTTTTTTGAGTGTCAATATTCAGCTGAGGTATGGAACTTGGTGATGAGCTGGTTGGGTTATAAATGGAGGTCCTGTACATGGAGCTTGATTTTGCACTGGTACTCTTACAAATTGAAAGGAAAATGTCCAATGAAGAAGCTGAAAAGGATGTGCTTATCTGCTGCTGTATATATGATTTGGAGGGAGAGAAATCTAAGGATTTTTCAGGACAAGAGGAGGCTGCCTGCTCAAGTTTTTAGGGAAATCAAGCTTTCGGGTTTTTATAAAGTTCTAAATGATAGTTCACATGTACATATGAAAGAACTTCTTGAAAATTTGTAACTTTTCTTTTGTTTTCCAGGCTTCTAGAGCTTTGTTTTACCTTACATGTTCAATTTTGGGAGATGAATAAAATTTACAGTTCATTGACCAAAAAAAAAGATCAATGACACAAACCTCACATCTATCTGATCAACAT